CAGGATAACACATGTTGTCATGACACAATATAGGGGCCAACCAAATCCCGCCTAAATGATACATCTGGCGGGGAGGAGTTGAGCATGTGCGCAAGAGTATCACTCTTATCGCGGAAAATACGGTACATGGATGGATACTATTTTTGGAGAGTGGTGTTTCGTGACCACTTATCCTACCACAGAAGTGTCTTAGGTCGAGGTTTATCGCAAAAGGTCCAAAGCAAAAAAGATACTTCTTTGTCCCCGTCGGGCAGGACAAAAATATGGGTCCTGGGCTTTCAATATGCTTGGGGACACCGCTTTTTGATTTGGATACCTATTGCACAGCAGGGTTTTAAACGCCCTCCTCGGTAAGTAGCTTGAACGCCCTCCTCAGAAAGCCAAACTGAGCAAGGGAGGGCTTCATGGGCCAGCCATGTAAGTATTATATTAACAATTTCACGATTTGACTCTGAAATAAGAGCTTCAAGGGGCTCACACAATCGCCATCGACTAACACCGAGACAGAAGCGTGTAAGAACAGCGCCATGCACCGAACAACTCCGCTTTTCTCTTCCAAAAAATAGCGTCTGTAACAGCAGCACAACAAGATATACGAATGAAAAATACACCATCTGAACAAAATTAAAACCTACGCCAATATAGACAATGCAAAAGAAAAAACCCAACCACAATAACCTGCCAGAGAAAAAAGAGCTAATTCCACAAGTGAAGAATGGTGCAGCGAAGCGCGCATTAACATCTAGTAAAGTTACTAAGCTCCCAAGAACTGGAGCTCTTCTAGTAAATCAGGGTTGTTTGAGACTGGGTGGGCCCATTTGATAGGGGATAGAAAGTTGGACAACAGATTAACGACAAATGTATTACAAAACCTGTAAACGCAGCGCCAACACCGCAAGAGCTATGTCTCGCCTGTACCAATTCCTATTAGGAATCGCCTATGGGTGAGCGACTATTGGGTCGGCCTATTAGCGCTCGTCGACTGTGTCGCTGTAGGTTCGCTCTGCTCCGGCTTTCTACAGTTTTTTCTTTGTCGTTTTCTTTTGTTTTTCTTTGTTTTCATCGGGTTTCTTCTATTTTTCTTTGTTATACTTCGCTTTTCTTTGTTTCTTTGTGATTTTTTATCTTTTTTCTTATTTTTAACATTTTAACACATATCTACCTTTTCAGAGTACACAATGTACATTTTTAGATAACACATGAAATATCTTTTTGATACACGTTAGATGTTTTTCAAATACATGATCATTTTTGTCATGATGTACATTTTTCCTAAATACATATTTTGAACGCATTCTCGGATACACGGTAACATTTTTCAAATACATGTCATAAAAAATTTAATGGCATGGAACTTTTTAAAACTACACAAATATTTTTTTGTATAAATGTTTTAAAATTTTCGCAGTCCTTATTTTGAAAACACCTAAATATTTTTTTAAATGTCAAGTATATTTTTTAATAGATCTAAACATTTTTTACCTACCAGAAAAATTGCACTGTATAACCATTTTTAAAATGTTATGTGCATTTTTTATTTAAAAAAATTACATTATGCAAAAAAAAGTACATTGTATACACATTTTATGAAAATGCCACAAGCACATTTTTGAAACTCGTGAATGCAAAAAAATTGTATGAAACATTTGTTTTAACTACCTGAACATTTTTTTCGCTGTATGAATATATTTTTGAAGTGTCATCACATGCATTTGTTTCGAACGTGTGACCTTAACATGATGCAGCCACATGATTACTGGGCCGGCCCAGCAATGGCTCTCTACAGGTAACCCTATGCTTGGAGTCGTTGTAGGCAGCACACAGTCGCGCCTGTGCCAACACGAAACTACTAATGAACAATTGTGGAAGCAGAGAGCAACTAACTGGAGGTTCACCTCCAGCTGTCACTTTTAGTGCTTTTAGAGCATGCCAAGTGGTATGTCCAACCCCTGTCACATGTCTCGTGATGGGTGCTTTCTCTGAATTTCTTTTTTTTTTCTGCACACGTTTTTGGGTTTTAGATAGATTTTTTCTTTCTTTTTTTATTTTTCGGTTTTCATCCAGTTTTCCCTAGGTTTTGGAGAGAGTGAGAGAGAGAGACAGAGAGAGAAGAGAGAGAGAGAGAAATTTGCTTGCGATTAATTTTGTGCTTCGAGAAGAAGCTCATATTTGTTTTTCATGGAGTCATATATTTTCTTCAGCGAGAAATATAGTTGTGCTTCTGAGACAGGGAAAAGTTTACAATATTAATGTGCGGTTTTTTCACGCTTTCACAAGCGGCATAGTTTTGCTTCTCGTATAGGCACAAATTTGCTTTCGTGAAAAGCGCGGCTGTGTTTCTCGGGAAGAAAATTATGCTTTCATGAAAAGCACAGATTTACTTCTGCGAGAAACAGATATATGATTCTCAGAGAGGGTAAAAATATGAAAAAAAAGGTGCTTCCGACTCCCTTTTTTTCTTCTTTTTTGTCATTCATTTCTTTTGTTGCTTTTTTTCTGGTTTTCATAATTTTATATTCTTTTTGTATTGTACTTTTTTGGATTTTTCGGGTTTCCAGTTTTATTCATGAAAAGAAGTTCATTCAAATCTATTAATATGGGACATAGTTTTGAAGATCTCGATGCAAGAAGTCCAACAGTGAAAACGGTTCAATATTTAGACGCACGGTTTAAGAGATAAAATTAGGTTGCAGCAAGTGACGTACATACAATGCGTCATTTATCAGCGCCTGAGAAGGTGGGAGTAACCTTTGCATAGGGTAACCCTTATCTTTACTCTAATAAAAAACAGAGTTGGTAATGATGGTGTGTCTGTCATCCTGTAATATAGGTCGTCCGATATATATCTGACGGATAGGAAGGAAACTATGGCAATTTTGAAAAAAGATACCCACACCCTTATCCATAATTGCAAATAAGGTTTTCTCTCGTTCATCTTTTTCTCTTATAAGATAAACTATTCATATACAAATACATCTTAATGTTCCGTGCAATGCACAATGCACAGGCATCTTGCTAGTAACTAATGATTTCGGTGGAAGCTCCTATTGCACGCCTTCTTTGGTGAATTAGCACAATAATGTCCAGCAAGCCGACCGACCATTTAGCTCTTCAATGGATACGACTACGCCAGCGGGGCCTCTGGCTACAAAATAACCGGATCCAGGAAAATCAGTGGCTCCCTAGCTTTGGAAAATATCATGTAATTTTCTTAACAAATTTAAAAAATTATTTATTCAAAAATATATTTGTGAATTCTTAAAAGGATGATACATTGTAAGAACTGTTTGCGTAGGTAAAAAATTATATTTATTTCTATTAAAAATGGGCATGACATTTTCAGGAAATATTCATGTTCCAGAAAATGTCCTTGCAGTTTCTATGCAATATAAAAAAATGTTCGCATACTTTAGAAAAGTATGTATTGCCACTAAAAATGTACAACATGCATTTGGAAAATGTTATCATTTATTTGAAAATGTGTTCCATGGAAAAAAGAAAACTGGGAGAAAAAAAGGAAACTAAAACAGAAAACTAGAGAATAGAAGCCGAAATACTTACCTGAAAATATATAAAAATAATAGACGATGTTTCTCGTAGAACAAGCATGGAAACAAAATTTGAATTCAATTCCAGTTTCCCTGGAACCGAATTTTTCATTTTGAATATCTGTATATGGTATAATTTTATTTTAAGTCTTTCATGTAATTTAGAAATGACAATAGAAGTATGTCTATAATAAGATATTTTTTGATCTTATCTGTAATAATTAACTATTTCTAAAAATATGAGAGACATACTGTGCTAAGAGTGAAGAGTTGATACATATTGCGTTAAGAGGGAAATTAAGCCTTGACATGTACCGGTTGATAAGCTTATTTTATCTTAAGTCTTGCATGTAACTTCTGTGATTTAAAGATGACATCAAAAACTACCTACAATGAATATTTTTTAGTTTTATCTTTAATAACTAGCAATTCCGTTCAATAACTAGCAATCCCTAAAAATATGAAATATGATGTGACATATTATCCAAAGAAATCAACTTTTAAATGAAAAAATAATAATTTCTCTCTTATCCGCACTCGTTATGGCCCATATGTTAGCCCACTATTACATGCTGGCCCATGTGTGAGCTAACTAGTATTACCGTTAGTATCATCACCTGAGCACTATTTACGGTTTGAGCTAACACTGTTATGCCATAGTTTTGTGTTCATTGTTTTTTATTGTTCGGTGCCTTTGAAGTGTGGTTTCTCAAAAATGCCTTCAAGTGTTTTGTGTTGCCAAAGATGAATATTGTATTGGTTTCCTCCTCTTTTTCTTGTCGTATTTGCTTTGTTTTCTTCCCCGATAGTATTTGTTACTTTGTTTTTCTTCGATAGTAATTGTATATTGTTTTTCTGTATTCGTTTCACTTTGTGAAGAAGATTTCTGTATTTGTTGTCAGTAGTATTGTCGTGCATAAGGTTATTTGTTGTTTCCGTAAGTACATGTTTTCGGATTTGTTTCCGGGTAGTTTTCACTAGTATTGTTGTGCAGAAGGTTTATGCATTCGTTTTCAGTAGTATTTGTTGTTTTCAAAAGTACTAAACTTTAGTACAAAGTTGGATCATCTATTACTAAAGTCAGTACAAAATTGGGTCATCTATTTTGGAACGAGTATTAGTTTCAGCTCCTTAAAAATATGAAAGCAGATGTTGTTCTCGCCGAGTGCTTGTTTATCTTTTAAATAATCTCTGGAAGTGTAGGGAAAATCTTAAGAGTAGAATATGGTTTGGCTCTTATAAAGAGTTTGTTGATTCATTTGATTCCTTCTAACTCTACATCCTCGGTTCCTCACACCGCCACTGCCTATACTGTTTTTGGGAAGTCATTCGTCGAGCACTCACTCCATTTCCAAGAGGAAAAACAAAGGGTGGGAGACATTTTATTAACTACCCTATCACCCAGCTATCCATACACCCATCTGGCGGACACGTACGCACGGCAAGAGCAGATCAGGTGAAAATCCTGGCTCCGGTATTCGCAGCCGGAAGATCGACCTCGCGGATCTCCGTCTTCAAGCCCTTCCCAGCCGCATTGGCCAACGGGTGGATGCCGTGCGCCGGCCCGTTCATGTACGCCCGGTTCTCCCTCTCCTTCTGGAACGACACGCTGAACTTCTTCTCCACACCTGCACCCACGTAACAATCTCGGTGAACGAACCAAGAAACCCAAAAAGAAAACCATGGTGAACTCCGCGGGGCATGCTTACAGTCGGCGAGATCCTGCCGGAGCCGGCCCTCGCGGGTGAGCGCCATCATGATCTGCGGGAGGCCGAGCGGGAGGGCGTCGCCGCGGTCGACCTGCCAGAAGTGGACGGTCTTGCCGTAGGTCCTGGCGACGACCTTGAGGTCCCGGCGCTCGACGACGCCGGGGACGCCGGGCATGAAGAGCACACCGCCCTTGACCTCGAACTCGTGGGTGTGCCACATCGGCTTCTCCTCGTCGGGCAGCGTGAGGAACAGCTCCTCGGTGACGATGTACTCAAGGCCGATGAGGCGCGCGCCGGCCTCCGGCCCGTCGAAGATGAGGCATTGCTGCACGTCCTCGTTGAGGTGCGCGCAGAAGTGGTGCGCCTCCACCTGCCGCGTCATGTCATCCCCGTAGAAGTGGAAGGCGCAAAGGTGCTGGTGGATCTGGTTGATGGGGGCGAACCCCTGGATGGCCCCCGTCGGCGTCTCCAGCAGCGCCGTCGCCATCTCCGTCGGCTTCCCCGGCACGTCCACGTCGTGGCACGAGGCCGCCATCTTCGATGCTGTGCGAGTTGTGTGTGTTGCGAATGCAATCGAGTATCCCCTTGCTAGAGCCTGAAGCGAAATGGAGCTCTCCCGTGCGTTTGAATTCTGGACCGTCGGATCGAAATCTCCTCGCGATACAGGCCGTCGGATCTCGATCCAAATCGCTGTGGGTCGTCTGATATTTACCCGATCGTCCTGGGCCGTCGGATAAAATTTCAATGGCAACTAATTGTAAATACCTTACCTCCACCAGGGCATTCCGGTCATTTCGCGTCGTGGGGTATAAAAGGGGGCGCTCCTGTGGTGGAGACCTAGCCGCCTCCTCCTCTCTCCCTCCCTCCCGCAGCCGCCTCCCTCCCGCGTGCCTCCTATCCTCCCACCCGCATCGCCGCCGCCGCTACCCACTGATGAGGACATAAATACCTTGGATACGACCAAAAATATTGCATACATGCATATTTGTCAGGTGATTTCTAATGCAAACTATTCAATAATCTATTTATGTTATCCAGAACAAAAATACTTCACACACTTTTGTGTTTTGTCTAATTGCAGGTGTATGGAACACTTGTACAATCCACATATGAAGATAAGGAAAAAGAAGAAGTTTATGTTGTGTTCAAAAAGTCCTCTCACGTCACTTTTGGGCCAAGAGAAGATAGAGTCCAAGTCTTTCACGTTCTGGATTCAGATTCGGACTGCACAGACATACCTGACTCAAAACGCCAATAACTTTTTCATACGGACTCCGAATTGGGTGATTCTTTTTTTGTTGGAAACTAGATTTCGTGCTCTTTCCAACCCAATTGGATTCACCTTCAAATTCATCCGGAGCGTTGAGTTACGGACGAAACAATCTGACGTTGCAGCAGAATTTGAGTCAAACTATAATCCCAAAGGTGTTGCATCACCTCCACTTGGGCCCATGAGCCTTGTACGACCTAGGGTTAGTTTTAGGCTGCCTTGGGACGTCCTCCCACCTCCTTGGCCGCCACCCCTTGCTCCTATATAAGTAGATCCATCTAGTAGCTTTTTCCTTAGAATTTGTTTAGTTAAAAGTTAGCCATTGCAACTTCGTGTACTTAGTTTGTGTCCAACGACCAGACCAAGACCGCTTACGGATCCCCACCATTATCAATACCTCATATATATTTGCAATATTCAGATTGATTTATCATATTCTTGCTCGTTCTTCGATTGCTTGCAGGAATAGACCTTCGTGGTCAGGCTGACCGTGCTTCCGGCATCGTCAGTAACCTCAGGAGATTGGTTTAGCGGTTGCTAAGGCGCAACGTCGTGCACGTTTGTAGTCGTATCGTCAAAGTCGTCTCCACCAAATCGATAGTTATCATCTCATCGAAAGATCGGGACCTTAGCCTTTCTATCAAGTGGTATCAGTTTTCAGGTTGCTCGGTGAGAATTTACAGTTTTCCTAGATTAGATTTATTTTCTTACCTATTGTCCAAGAAAAAGCCACAAAAAAGAGTTAGATCTATTCATCCTTGGTCCAAGCCAGTCTGAGCCTTTGCAATTTTCTTTTCATTGCTTGCATAGTTGAATTATCGGTTGCATCGTCGTGTCGAGTTGCTGGTCTTAGTGTCTAGTTCGTTTAGAGTTTCGAGTTCTGTTCACATTAGTCACGCCACCGCTGCATCATTATCTCTTCCGCTGTCCACCACCCATCCATCAATTTCCACCACGTGCTACCCACCATTCATTGTCATAATAATAGTTGAGATCGTTCACATCTTCGCTTGATCCAATCTGCGTCTTATCTAGTTTGTTTTGGAAAGAGGGAGAAAAAAAGAAAGAAAAAAAACGAGAAAAAAAGAGAAAAAAAGTCAGAGAAAACAAGGAAAAAAAATCAAAAAAATCGGCACAAACTTTTTCAGAGGAAAGTTGGAGACAAAGTTGTTGATATATCCTGCTTGGCTGTTGTTTCACATCATTATCTTTACTGCCGTTGTGATCTTCACTTATATCTTGCTGTCCAGAGCTACTTAGTATCCTTCATTGATGCTAGTTGTGCTACGACATGATCTCATTAGTGTTCTAGGCTCGCGTCTCTAGTTCGGTCTAGCCTAGGACCAGCACAGTATCGTCGTTGAGCATTTATTCAACATTGCATCTCTGAATTGATTATTGCTAATCTTTTGCTACCATATATAGCCAACCCAGCTCCATATATTTCTACACCGTGTATACGTACGTTCCCCTGGCAATCGCTTTACACAATCTTCAGAGTTATTTGACATCGTTGGTTGCCTGTCACCACCTGTTGCTTGGTAAGAACTTGTAAGATATTGATATTTGTTTTACTGTGAGCGCTTTACCACCACACCCTAGTAGTTCATAGGAACATTATTCTTGAATTTTGTTTCTTGTTTCTACTAATCATGACAGGTTCCGAAGATAGAAGTTCTTGGACGACGGACACATCTTCACCATCACGAGAGTTGGGACAACACACACAAGCACATGGTCAGGTTATCTTTTTACCGTCATTTGAGGGTAGATTTAATCCTACTACATATCTAGCTTGGGAGCTTGAAGTAGAACAAGTTTTTAGTCACCATGACTTTTTTGAACTTGAGCGAGTGCGAGCAGCCACTAGAGCATTTACTGATTTTGCTTCTGTTTGGTGGAGTGTACATTGTAAGAAAAACATTGATAACCAACCCACAACTTGGAAAGTTTTGAAAGCTGTAATGAGACAACAATTTTTCCCTCCTTATTATCGTCGTGAATTGCTTCGCAAATTTGAACAATTTAAACAAGGCAACAACATTGTTCATGCTTACTACCAAGAGTTCAAATCTTATATGCATCATTGTGACATAGAAGAATCTGAGAATGATACAATGAATAGATTTTTTGGTGGTTTGAACCATGATATTCAGGCAAGATTTCAGTATATTCCTCGTTGCATTACTGGTATGTATGTCCGTGCTTGTACCTTTGAGAGACAGATAAAGGAGGATGCATTAGGTGACTACAACAACTACTATTCCAGTTCATGCTCGCCACCGCCGGTGGGTTCCTCCATCATTGCACCTCGGATTATGAGCGCGGCATCATCTCAAGGGTATGGTACATTGTCAACGTTCGTACCTACATCAGCTACATCTTTGCCACAAGGTAACAGTAAAGGTATTGATGATATAACTTCACATGAGAATGATGCATGCCTAGTTAACTTGAATGCGTCATGTATTGAGTTACCTGTTGATTTGAGCACACCACCTATTTTAGAGAATCTTGTTACTATCATGAATGCGTCATGTGATCAAACAACTGAAATATCAATAATTTTGAGTGCACCCATTGAATTAACTGTTGATGCAAAAGAACTAATGTTTAATCATTTTGATATGGCCTCCAATCTTGGTGATGATTCTGTGTCCAATGACTTATTGCATGTTTGCTTATTTAAGCATGTTGTAGCATGTAAATTTGATGCAAGTAAGGTTTATTCACCAAAGTTGGGATGGTTTAATGATGAACATTGCGAATCTTTTAAAATGAATAAGAGCTTCACTTATATGTGCAAACTGAGTTCTAATATTTTCAAGCCTTCTACTTCTTGTGATAATTTTTTGGCTTTATTTTTTATGAACTATGAAATTTACTCATGTATACATGTGTCATACGTGCAAAAATCAAGGAAAGTTAAACTGGGTGACATATACATATACAACATGTACACCTTGTCTCTTTTGTTAGCCACATTTCAGATTAAGCAACGCCGAGGACGGCTTTGCTTTCAAAAAGGGGAGGATGATGAGGACATGACTACCTTGGATACGACCAAAAATATTGCATACATGCATATTTGTCAGGTGATTTCTAATGCAAACTATTCAATAATCTATTTATGTTATCCAGAACAAAAATACTTCACACACTTTTGTGTTTTGTCTAATTGCAGGTGTATGGAACACTTGTACAATCCACATATGAAGATAAGGAAAAAGAAGAAGTTTATGTTGTGTTCAAAAAGTCCTCTCACGTCACTTTTGGGCCAAGAGAAGATAGAGTCCAAGTCTTTCACGTTCTGGATTCAGATTCGGACTGCACAGACATACCTGACTCAAAACGCCAATAACTTTTTCATACGGACTCCGAATTGGGTGATTCTTTTTTTGTTGGAAACTAGATTTCGTGCTCTTTCCAACCCAATTGGATTCACCTTCAAATTCATCCGGAGCGTTGAGTTACGGACGAAACAATCTGACGTTGCAGCAGAATTTGAGTCAAACTATAATCCCAAAGGTGTTGCATCACCTCCACTTGGGCCCATGAGCCTTGTACGACCTAGGGTTAGTTTTAGGCTGCCTTGGGACGTCCTCCCACCTCCTTGGCCGCCACCCCTTGCTCCTATATAAGTAGATCCATCTAGTAGCTTTTTCCTTAGAATTTGTTTAGTTAAAAGTTAGCCATTGCAACTTCGTGTACTTCGTTTGTGTCCAACGACCAGACCAAGACCGCTTACGGATCCCCACCATTATCAATACCTCATATATATTTGCAATATTCAGATTGCTTTATCATATTCTTGCTTGTTCTTCGATTGCTTGCAGGAATAGACCTTCGTGGTCAGGCTGACCATGCTTCCGGCATCGTCAGTAACCTCAGGAGATTAGTTTAGCGCTTGCTAAGGCGCAACGTCGTGCACGTTTGTAGTCGGATCGTCAAAGTCGTCTCCACCAAATCGATAGTTATCATCTCATCGAAAGATCGGGACCTTAGCCTTTCTATCAAGTGGTCCCGATCTTTCGATGAGATGATAAATATCGATTTAGTGGAGACGACTTTGACGATCCGACTACAAACGTGCACGACGTTGCGCCTTAGCAACCGCTAAACTAATCTCCTGAGGTTACTGAATTCGAGTCAAACTACAAGATCACTCCTCTTGATTTGTTCCATTTCTTACAATCTACTCTGCTAGGTTCATCTCCAATGGCAAATCCATAGCTTTGTGCTAAAGGTTCAGGCAGATGGAAGCA